AGAAAGAAAGAAAGAAAGAAAGAAAGAAAGAAGAAAGAAAGAAGAAATAAAGAAAGAAAATCAGGAGCACCTTCTAATACATTGGTCATGATTGGCAAGGGAGAGGAAGGAACCAGCAAGTTATTTCTAGGTTTCTAGCTTGTACGTTGGGTTAGATGGTGATGTCATTTACTACGTTAGGAACACAAGGTGAAGGTGAGACCAGGGAATGGACATGATTTCAGCCTCCTCTACAGAACCAGCTAAATAAATTGGGGGCCACTCGTTCAACGATAACTAAGAATCTCAAGGCAGGAACAGCTGAGTAAGAGCCCTTCTAAGTATGGGACCCTGTGCGCCTGCACAGCTCTTCCACACTAGTAGTGATAATAACTACACTAGGACTCTAGTACCTACACTAGTTATCCCCGGTAGTCATGCAGACAGAGCAAAAACAGCTGTGTCCTCCGGGTGGCAAAGGCTCCAACACCTGGTGTCCTGGCCCCCGTGCGCCAAATTTCTCATATGAGAAGTCACAGATCACAGTGTCTGTCCCCTAAGGAAAATCCAAATTGCTTGATTTGGTGCCCCAGTTGCACAAAGGGGAATTCCACGTTGGCTGTCCAAAGATCAGCCCTTCCGCTGTGGTTTGCAGTGTCTGCCGGCCACGATCCTAGGACAGGCGCCCAATCCAGTTTGCATAACCCTTGCTTGATTTGCCCTAGGGGTGGCCCCTACTTGGGCTCTTTGAAACTTCTCATCCACCTGGCCCATATTCTGAAGCACTCCAGCCACAGGCCAAAGTCAGAGAAGCCCAGAGGAGGACAGTGCCACAGAGTCCTGTCACCCAAGACCCCTTGCCCAGCCACACTTGGGGTTTTGCTGTCAGCCTCTGTGCTGTTGAACAGGCCTATTGCGGCATAGTGGCTGAGGAAGTTTCTGTCCAGGATGCTAAGGAAGGTTATTCAAGGGAATGCTAGAAATTTCGAGCTGAGAAAACCATTGTACATACTAGATGTCCCAAATAGGAAGAAAAGAAACTCCCATTATCAGCCCTAAACTAATAACTATGAATGAGTGAGTAGAAGCCAAGTCCCAAGAAGATTCTTCATCAGGACCATCATTCGCCTATCCTGGGTGGGGGCCATCCCATCTTCTCTGCCTGTATCACCAACCCGTTGCTCCCTCCCGAGTGGCCCTGTTGCCAGGGAAGCTAGTTGAACCCTGGGTCTGGCAAGCCCCCATTCCTTAGCCTTCCATTTGTGGCTCCAGTGGACCCCCAGAGAGCAGCTCCTTCCTCTTGGGTCTGAGCTGTAGAAGTTCAGCAACGTGCAGAGCAATGATGCCAGGAAGCCTGCCATTTTGCTGAGCACAAGGGTAGCTGGGAGAAGATTCCTTATGAGTTCTTGTGCCCTTAGATAGGACTCTCAAAATGTATTTACACAGTGCACACACACACACACACACACACACACACACACACACGCTTGTAGTGCTCATCTGCCTGGACCCCTCTGCAGCTAAACTAGTGAAACTCACTGAGGAGAGTCTATTCTGGAAAGACTGTTAGGATCTCCTGGGTTGACATGCCTTAAGACTTTACCCACGTCCCTTCTCCCTGACATCTTGCAACAACAGAGAGGAGAGCAGGAAGGCAAGAACAAGCAGGCTCTAGATGACGAGTGCTCTACCAGCCTCAGACTGCCTGCCTCTGACTTCATGTTAAGTGAGGCCAAAAAATAATACCACGATTAATCAGATTTTCTTTCATTTGCAGTTGAATGCAGAAATTCAGGAATATTCTGGAGCAGGGGTGGAAAGGCAAATTGATTTCCTATCCCACAACCTTCCTCTGATTCCCCAGAGATTCCTCACTGGAGAAAGTCATTTGAATTCAATTTCGTGATCATGTCATAGACCCCTGCTAAGCATCTGGACTTGAGGGAAGACTAGACTCAGGCCATTTACCCTCATGGAGCTCACAGTGATCAGCGGCAGTCGAGTCCTCTGGAAATCCACAGAACAAAATGGTGCCCAGACCGACACTCTACCATCCGTAGGTGCCCCGTCTCTCACTTCCTCCCCGAAAAGGGCTCTTCCCTTGTACTAAAACCCAAACTCAAACTTCCTATGCCGTGCAGACCGCTGACACTTACGTCTCAGATGTGACTATGAGTTTGAGACTTTTCCTGATGGATCCTATGACTAGACTTTTCAAATGAATGAATATCCTCACAGCCTTGAGAAATAGAATGATGCCCACGTTTACTATTCTCACGGTTTTGTCAATATAAAAGCAGAGGCTCTTAACTTTTCTCAAAATGTTCATCCCTGTTTTCTTCTATCAGCCTGATGTCAACCCTCTATGCTGGTAGGAAAGATATTGGTATCTCCATTTGTTACGTAAGGAATTGCGTCCAAAAATTTGCCATGGTTACCTTTGATCATTTAGATTCTGAAATTTTGAGATGGGAGAGGACCGTGACTTCAAATCAGCGGGGGAAAGATCGACTATTCAACAAATGGTTTGAAGTAATTGGCTGCATGCTCCTGTACCTCACCCTACCTAATGGCTTATGCATTAAAGAAAGGCAGAAGTGGCTTTGGCCCACCTCCCTTCCTCCTGCCATCTTGCACATGTGCATATTTGTGTGTGTGCATTTACACATTTATCTCAAGTTATAAGAAGACAGTGGAAAAGATGCTGGCCTGGCTCCCTGAGTTGCTTCCCTATCTATCCGAGTGCCTGCCTGTGCCCAGACCAGCCTCCTTCATGTTACTTCCTCCAGCCTGTACAGGCTCATCATGTACTCTGCTATGCTGAGAGCAAAAAGAAAAGAGAAAACTGTAGAGCTAGCACCTTCCTCCATGGACCAGACCCTATGCTTGGTATCAGGTACACAGAATAATAAAACAACATCCTACTTCAGGGAGCTCACAGCTAACTGGGGGGAGGCAAGGTGTGCACATAAGGTGACAGCAATGTCAGATGGTAGGTTTAGCAGTGGAGGCAAGAACAGGGCGTGGTGGCAGAGAAAGATAGGAGGGGTCTGTGCTGCATGGGTCAGGGAGAAGGGCCTCAGAGCCTTGCCTGGGGTTTGATGCCTCTGGCCTGACTCCCTCCGTGCTAAGTCTGCACCCAGAACACCCAACTCAGAAAGGCGGTCAGCCCGATGGGCGAAAGCAGGCACAGCCCAGGAAACCCAGAAGACAAGAGGGAAGGACAAGGGTAGAGGGGTGAAAACTCAGCTCCTCACCTCTTTTCTCTGCTTCCTGGCAGTAATATTCAATACTCCTAAGCCCAGGGCAAATCAGCAAGAGCAAAAATTCCTGTGTTAGCTTCACTCTTGTTTCTAAAAGGTTCTTTTCTCCCTTCACAATTCTTAGGTTTTTGCACTGACATTCCCCAAAGTATTGGAAGGGGAGGCCTTGCCCCCCTGATCCTGACCCACAAGGTGCACCCACAGGTTGGAGCTGGACCCTGTCATTTCTTTCCCCAGGCCCATTCCAGATTGGCCTGGCCCCAGTACGTCTGCCCCATTTGCTCTGGCACAGTGAGAGCAATGGGGCAGGCTCAGGATGCAGTACCATCTGAGGTGTTCTAGGGCTGACACAGGAGGGCAAAGAAATAACAGAAACGCTGGCGACAACCCTGTATCTGAGTCCACTTGTCACTTTCCCGAGCCCCTCCCCTGCAAAGCCCAAAGGCCCCTGGCAGGCAGGAGGGCAGGTACTCTGTTGCCCTCTTGGGACAGATGGAAAGTCAAGCGACTTTCCCTGAGGTTTAAAGACTGACAGAGCCAGGACAGAGACCAGGTCAGTGCTCTTCCTAATTACTGTCTTCACGGGGGAGGTAGGAAAAGCTCCTATAGAAGGAGAAGGTCAAGGTACATCAAGGGACCCCCAGAGACTTTCCAGATATCTGAAGAGGGGGTGTCACTCCCCCTCTCCTTTCCTTATTAGAGGTAGAGCAACTTTCCTCGCTGCACCTGCCTACCGTACCTGCCCACCCTCAAACACACACACATCACATGTGCAAATCCAAGACCAGATGGCTAAGACTTCTTCGGAAGGAGGGAAGGGACAGGTAAGAGAAATAAAGGGGGAGGGGGCCTGCAGTCCAGTCTTCATGGAATCCTGACTTAACTTCCTTATTATTCCTGTTTCCCTCACCCCCCATCTTTCAAGCTTAAGTGTCTAACCACAGAAGCTCACAACTAAAAGAAACCATGAGGACTCTTCAATCTAAACCTTATCATTCCACACCCTGGGGACCGTGTAGACAGAGTAAGGAGCATGGCCCTGCTGTCAGGCAGGCCTGGGTGCAAAGTCTGACCCTCTCACTCAGCACCCATGTAACCTTGTGCAGGTTACTTAGCATCTCTGTGCCTCAGTTTGCTCACTGTAAAATGGAGATGATAAGGGTCACAGTGACCGGCAGCCAAGCTATCAAGAAGTATGGACCACTCTCATGAACTTTCCCAAAGTACTGGGACAGCCAGTGGGAAGCTGGCCTCTGCAAGGGGCCACCTTGGAACATAAAATGCAAGAACCAGAGGGATCTATGAGGATATTTAACTCACCCCGGTTCTCACTTGGGGAAACTGAGGCTCTTCCCAATTCAGCAAGGAAAAGCCTTGGGTATTCAATCCAGGTTGGGGAGGGGATCCAATTATTTCTCAATCTCAGTGCATTCTGGAACGGCCAATTTGTCCACGTCACTGTGACCTAGGAACACGCGCAAAGAACCCACAACTGCTGGCCTCTGTGCACAGAACAGCTGTTCACCCCAGGAAATCAACTTTTTTTTTTTTTTTTGTTAAGAAAAGCTGGAAAGTTATTTTAAAACAGAGAGAGAGGTAGCCCATCCTAAAATAGCTGTAATGCAAAAGTTCATTGTTCAACAATCCCTTTTGCTTACAGTGCAAAAAAGTGAAGAACTTTAAAAAGTTAAATAATGCAAAGTTTGAGAAGGGAGGGGTTTAATGAGAAGAAAACAAGAAAACGTTTGCCAGGAAATTTGTGACTCTGTGGCTTTTTATGAATGGGGAGGCCTCACCGCACCCACACTATAAAAGGGGGACACAGTAGGTGAAGGTCTACACATCAGGGGCTTGCTCTTGCAAAACCAAACCACAAGGCCGACTCTTCAGAAGGCAGAGCTTCGCCATGCCCAGCCCAGCACTGCTCTGTTGCTGCCTGGTCCTCCTGGCCGGGGTGGGAGCCAGCCGACACCAGAGCACCCTATCTGAGGACGACTGCACCCACTTCCCAGCCAGCCTGCCCCACATGCTCCGAGAGCTCCGAGCTGCCTTCGGGAGGGTGAAGACTTTCTTTGTGAGTATGATGCCTTCCTGTCCTTCCTTCCTTGCTGGCACTGCCTCCACCAGGCATCCTGCTAGAGCTCTAAGAATCCTCCTTCTTGTCCACCTCCCTCTCCAGCATTCACTTCCCTCAAACTTAAATTCTTAAAAGAGTCCCAGGTCAAGCCATAGGTTCAGTGAGTTAAGCTAAGCCCGGGTGATGCCGCAAATGTGCAGAAAATGCCACCTCCCGGGGAGATGCACTGGGACTCCTATGCTTAGCAACTTTTTTTAAAGATTCCTCTGGAGCTCAGTTGGCTGGGAGAAGTCATGAAGGGTCTGCCTGAAGGTGACAATGCGCTCCCCATCCCTTGTGGTGGGGAAAACATATAGGGTCTCCGGGGAGCACATTTCCAGAACCTGGAAGCCTGCTGGTTTGGGAAAGCGCCTTGCAGGGGGGAAGCCTGCATTAGGAGAGGCTCCCCACCTCCAGACAGCTTTCAAAGCTGCAGCTGGGGGTCTGCAGCAGGGGGAAAGAAAAGCCAGGACCACCAAGGGGTGGGTGGGCCCAGGTGGACCCTTCCAACCTGATCGGGCTCTGCAGAGAGGACACCGGCACCCGGGCAAGCTTCTCGTGGTTCCAACGCCCGGCAGCCTTTTTTAAAAAAAACAACTGGATCCTCGGGGAAAGGACCCGATTGAACTAAGGGTTCCAGCGCTATTGAATGTCCTGTGTTGAAAATCTCCTTTCCATTTTTGGGGCCAGGCTGTGCTGATGAAACATCAGAAGCTCTATAAATAAGAGGGCGTCGGAAAAGACATTTCCTCCGTCCTCCGGCTCATTCTCCTTTTGTTCTTCTTGCAGCAAATGAAGGACAAGCTGGACAACATACTGCTGACCGGGTCCCTGCTGGAGGACTTTAAGGTGAGAGCCCGGCTGGGTGTGCAGGAGGGGAGGCAGCAGCGTGACTCAGATGAGGGAGGCCTCTGGGAGCTGGGTCTGCTTCCTTTGCTTTGAAAAGGAGAAGTGGAAAGATCTTAACTCAGCACACAGCCAAAGGGCTGTCCTGGGGGGAGGTGGCTGGTTAAGAAAGGTCCCTGGGGACAAAGCTGTCCTCTCAAGCTAGGGCAGCAGCTCTTCCTCCCAGTCACCCCCTTCCCCCCCAAACGCTCTTGCCCTTAGGGTTACCTGGGTTGCCAAGCCCTGTCGGAGATGATCCAGTTTTACTTGGAGGAGGTGATGCCCCGGGCTGAGAACCACGACCCAGACATCAAGGACCATGTGAACTCCCTGGGGGAGAAGCTCAAGACCCTCAGGCTGAGGCTGCGACGCTGTGTGAGTGCAGACTTCTTCCCCTGCGGCTGGTGGCTCCCGGGCCTTCCAGAACCTCCGCTCAGGGCCAGGGCAGGCCGGCAGCGGCTGGAGCTCCATTGCTTGCTCATCGCTCTCTCTGAGCGAGGAGTGGAGGAGGCGGCGAGGCATTTACATGTTTGCAAACAGCTTTCCTGTTATTTGTGAGTCATTTGTGGGTTATTAGCTACTCCCCTCTCCCTCCGTGAAAGGGGCCCCGCGCTTCAGTCGGGGTTCCTCTGACCCCTGTGGACCCTGCAAAAGGGGCTGCTGGCAGGCAGGGTCCCGTGGAGAAGAAACCCCACTTCCCCCTCGGCCTCCACCTTTGGAAGGCAGAGCTCTGGAGCGGGGCATTGTAGGGCCAGGGGGCCCCTCGCCCCCAGACTGCAGTGGGGTCTGCAAAGGATTCCCCACTGGACCGACCAGGCCGCTCCTCCCGCCTTCTCCAAGGGGGGAAGGAGCTGGTCTGGTTTGTAGGAGGGGCCCACCAAAGGCCTTGGTCTGCATGCCCGCGCTGCACCTCTAGCGGCTCGGAGACCCACAAAGGGTGCTGGTGGCTGGAGCCCAGGAGGAGGAGGGACGGGGAAGCGGGAGGGGACAGCGCGCTGGCTCAGCACTTGTCACTGGGTAGGAGGCTCCAAGCTCCAGCTCCCGGGCTTTCATGCAAGCTTTGCAAAGCTCGCAGAGTGGCTTCTGGAGAAGCACTTGTCACCTCCCTGGGCTGTTTCTTCTCTGTCTAGTGGGCAAGGGTGACACAGGGCTCAGGGCTCCCGAAGGAGCTGCCGGGGGGCAAGGGGTGGGTTAGGTATCCGAGATGAGTCTGGGCCCTTCTTCAGGTCCCCAGCTGTCCCCCAAGTGCTGGAGACAGGGGAGCTGGGAGCCGTGGCATTAACACTTTCCCTTTCCCCCCACAGCACCGATTTCTGCCCTGTGAGAATAAGAGCAAGGCGGTGGAGCAGGTGAAGAGCGCGTTTAGTAAGGTGAGTGGCCGCCCCAGGGGCTGGCGCCGCCTTGTCCCCCGGCCCAGGCGCAGGTGCCCAGCGACACCGTCCTCCTCCCCAGGGGCTGTGGGAACCGGCGGCCGGTGTGAGCGAGGAGCTGCTGCCTCGCTTCTATTTGTTTTCTGTGAAGTGTCTTTGGGGCTTTCGAAATGACTGTTCCCCGCTTTGCAGGCCTGTGGGCTGAGCCAGATGCTGGCGAGAGTGACAAAGGAAACAGAAAGGAGCCTGTTGGGAATCTAGGCTAGAGCCACACGTGCCGGAAGGCAGCACGCGAGCGTGCACACACACCCAGGGCTTCGGCCTGGGCGCCCCAAAACTCTGAGCAGGAGGCAGCCCCCCGGCGAACGGGCTCGGGCCCTACTCCCTTTCCAGCTGCTGTTCACACCTGCTGGGCTGCCTCCGAACGTGGGCTCTCAGATCTAGTGGGGTTTCACGCGTCCCACTGTTGGTGACCCCCCGCACCCCCCTTCCCAGAACCAGGCGGCCTCCACCCTCTGCGGGACTGAGCCCTGGCTGCAGGCCTGGGCCCGGGCAGGGCCTGCTCCCCCCGCCGATGGACGAGCATAACCATCAAAGGGTCCTTTCCTCCCCTCACTGTCCCATTTTCAACGTGGTTCCTCTACTGTCTTTTCTTCAAATTCTGAATAAGCGTCATGTGAGCACACGACCTTTAAAACTGTTAAGGCATCAATTTTAAATTGCTAAGGACTGCGCTCTACAAAGTGACGGTTCCTCTTGCCACTCGCTAGCCATGCTTTTTAGGCCAACGCCGCGTCGCCTCTCCCAAGGCGCTGGGTGCACCCTCGGGTTGCCTGGGTCCATCCTTCACCTGCCCACACACGAGAGCCAGTGTGGCGCCCGGGGCCCCGGGATCACACCCACCCAAGTCAGGGACCCATCTGGGCCCCAGGGTCACACCCACCCAAGCCAGGGACCCGCCTATTCACTCAGATGGGGCTTTCACGTCACGTTTCCTATCTCCCTACACAGCTCCAGGAGAAAGGTGTCTACAAAGCCATGAGTGAGTTTGACATCTTCATCAACTACATAGAAACCTACATGACAATGAGGATGAAAATCTGAAACGTGCTGGAGAACAAAACACCCAGGATGGCAACTCTTCTCGACTCTAGGACATGAATTGGAGATCTGCAAAATCCCATCCGGGGATGTAGGAGAGCCGACCAACTCCTTGGAGAACCCCGTCATACCTCTCTCTTAGAATATTTATTACCTCTGATACCTCAACTCCCATTCGTATTTATTTGCTGAGCTTCTCTGTGAACTACTTAGAAAGAAGCCCAATATTATAATTTTTTTCAGTATTTATTTTTTTTCACCTCTGTGTAAGCTGTTCTCATAGGGTGATACCCTATGGTATTTGAATATTTTAAGAGAAATTATAAGTTATATAAGAAAAAAATGTGTCTTGGGGAGCCTACCGAAGCTTCCATTCCAAGCCTGACCATACTGTATAGCTGTGGAGCTATTTTCCCTGACTTCCCTATAATTTCTCTTGTCCCAGGGTCTGGGGCTCCTAGATTGTTATAAAGACTCTTATCCTCTCAGGAAGGGTAAGATAATTAATATCCCAGTGGCTCAGAGGGATTCCCTTGACCTCATTCCCCAACCACTTCATTCTTGAAAGCTGTGGCCTGCTTGTTATTTATAACAACCTAAAGTTGGTTCTAATAGAACTCAGTTTTAACTAGAAGCAATTTAATTCCTCTGGGAATGTTACATTGTTTGTCTGTTTTCATAGCAGATTTTAATTTTTAATAAATAAGTGAATCATTAAAATCATGTTACGGTGTCAGTTGACTTCTGTGTGACTAAAATTGCTCCGTCAACATTTCCAAGATAGAAGAAAGCAGATAAATGAATTCTGCATTCCAGAGAAAGAAAGCCAGCTACCCTCTCCCCAAGAAGAGGTAAGCTCCAAATCTGATCAGAGGCGAAAACTGTATTTTCACTTCAAAAGCCAATAGCACAGATGGCCATAGTCTTCCTATAAACTCAGTCCTTTAAGACATTATCCTTAAAGTCTAAAAGATCATGCTGGTTTTCAAGACTAAGGTTGAGGTTCTTCGGATACCAGCATTAGAAAGACAGGGAGACGACTTTTCTAGTGTTTCTTTGTCTTTGTTTCTTTGAGGGTATGGCCTGGGTTTTGTTGTTGTTGTTGTTGTTGTTGTTGTTGTGTTCTGGGTTTTTGTTTGTCTACTTGCTTATTTTGGCCTGTTTTGCTTTGTCTTTGCTTCTTCAAGCCCCAAAGGTGAATACTAATTTACCTGGGTTGTTGTGAAAATTCAGATGAGGAGCTAACATGGAGATGGTCCCTAGAAGTGATTGGTTGTCATTGATACGCACACCCCAAAACTCTTACCAAATTCTCCTGGAGCTGAGATCAGAGGCCCACCCAATAGAGTAGAACACAAACAGATGAGCCCACTTGATAGAACACCCAAGGATCCAAGTGCTGTCATGCCCTCTGCTCCCTCCTTCAGCCACCAGACAAATACGAGATTGGCTTCTGACTGCGGTCTGTTGGGAGGGGCACAGTGGCTGGGGAAGCCCTACTCAGGGCCCCGTGACTTGGAGGAGAGAGAGGGAAACTGGTCTGAGTAAACACAGATCACCCTCACACTCTGCCCAGGCAGCCCTGGTCTGGGGGAGGCTGGGGGCTAACAGGCTGTGGTCAGTTTTTCAGTAAGACCTGACTCACTTCAGTTAAAGTAACCATAGGAAGGAAGTGGGAAGCATCAAAGCTGAAATTCTGAGATGAAAGGTTAAGGTTAAGAAAGGAGGCAAGCAGAAAATCTGAGGCTCTCTACGCCAAGGCTGTCTATACTGGAGAAGCCGTGAGGTTTGAGGCCGTTAGGGTTCTCTGTTGGGCAATGCGTACTAACTTAAGGTTGAGGTTGGCACCTCAGGTAAAGGAAGTGGGCATCTGAAACCAAGACACAGAAGCTCACCTAGAGAAGCCACACAGCCGATGAGATGTTGACAACAGTCACAGTTTACTGAGCACTTATTTTGAGCCAGTCGGTGCTAGTTCTGTACATGTCAGCCATAGGGTATGGGATTATTATTGTGGTCTCCCGTAAGAGGGAGCAGATGCTCAGACATGAAGGTATGGCCTGGCCCCGTGGGTGGTAGGGAGAATGGAGAACTGAGAAAACTATAACATGCCTCTCCTTTTTCCCCTCGGTATTAATTATCTGGTGATGTCCCCCAAGTTTAGCAGCTTAAAGCAACACACGCTTTTGTCTTCTTCTGTGGGTCAGGAATCTGAGAGTGACAACTGTGGGTTCTGGTTCAGGGTCTCTAATGAGGTTGCAGGCAAAATGACAGCCAGGGCTGCAGTCATCTGAAGCTTGGCTGGGGCTAGACAAGTCTCTTCCAATATGGGACACCTACGTGGCTGTTGGCAAGATGCCTTGGCTTCTTGCTGCATGGGCCTTTCTGTAGGGCTTCTTGAATGTCTTCGCCACACAGCAGCTGTCTTCCCCAGGGCCAATGATCTGAGAGAGAGCAAGGAGGAAGTCACGGTATCTTTTTGACCTAATCTCAGAAATCTCACACTTCTGGCACATTCTGTTTGTTAGAAGAGAGTTGGCAAGTATAGCCCATATTGAAGGGGAGATAAAGTAGCATCCACCTTTTGAAGGGAGGAGTCTCAAAGAGTCGGTGCACATATTTTTTCAACTACTACACCCTTCTAAGAACTTAGATAAAAGAGCTCTGTGCTCAAATGGCACATGAGGCTCTTGGGTAGGTGGGGGTAAGGAAGAGTCGGGTAAACATCAGGATGCATGGAGAGGCCATCATCGTGGACACTACCCTCCTCCAGTCCTCTCTCCTGTGGACTCAGACTAATATATGTACCTCTCTGAGCCTCAGTTTCTCATCTGGAAAATTATCAAAACATTTTTACCCAGGTGTTATCTACTAAATGCTTGTGTTCCCTCAAAATTCATATGTTGAGGCCCTAACCCTCACTCTGATGATATTTGGAGATGGGGCCTTTGAGAGATAATTTGGGTTGGATGAAGCCATGAGAGTGGGGCCATCATGATGGGATTAGTGCCTTTAGAAGAGACACCAAAGAGCTCTCTCTCTTTCTCTCTTTTTCCACATGTGCACACTAAGAAGATCCTTGTGATGCCTAGGTTGCTCAGTGATGGAGCATCTGCCTTCAACTCAGGGTGTGATCCTGGGGTCCTGAGATCAAGTCCTACATCAGGCTCTGCACAGGGAGCCTGCTTCTACCTATGTCTCTGCCTCTCTGTCTGTGTCTCTCATGAATAGATAAATAAAATCTAGAAAGAAGAAAGAAAGAAAGAAAGAAAGAAAGAAAGAAAGAAAGAAAGAAAGAAAGAGAAAGAAAAAGAAAGAAAATCCTTACCGAGCATGCACAGAAAGATGGCAGTCACTACAAGCCAAGAGAAGAGGCCTTAGAATGGCCTGTTGGCCATTGGCACCTTGATCTTGGACTTCTGGCTTCTAAACTAAGAGAAATAAATTTCTTTTGTTCAAGCCATGCAATTTACATATTTTATTATAGCAGCCTGAGCTGACTAATAGATCACACTTGATATAAAGGTCAAATAGAATGTCAGGTATGAAGATATATATGTGTTTTTGATTGGAAATATAGAGATAAGGTTTAGATGGGGATTTTTTTCTTTTTCTTTCTTTTTTTTTTTTTTTTTGGCAACAAGCCTTTATTCTCTAATTAGAACAACCACCTTATCTCCTATGTCCCTCTTCCCCTCACATCAGAATTTGGATAGCAGTGGAGAATGAGAATCTCTGCTTGTGGTCCCAGCTGCTGAGGTGAGGAGGGTGGGACCAGTGAAAGAAGCTCCCAAAATCTGTGATGACAGTGTGGTTACCCTACCTAGCCACTGACGGAAATCAGACAGATCAAAAGGTTCTGGAAGGCATAGTCTGGAAGGAAGGGGATGATATCAGAGGTATAAAGAAAGAGGAAAGAGAATTGCTTGATGCCAGAAGCTACCCTCTCTATGGCATCTTGACCCCTCCAAGCACTTGTAGGAATGGATTTAATTGTGGAACATGAGGACCAGCTTTAGGCCTGGAGTGATTTAGGGAGAAGCAGGAATAACACTCTAAGGAAATAGGAGCTGGATCATAAGAACAAACATGCGGAATTTAAAATGGCAGGAAGATCTTTGAACTTTCAGAAGTTACAGAACTGGCTACAGAATGAACCAGTCAACTCCACCTTCGATTGGTTAGTGGGTCCCAGGTGACATTCGTGTTCCATCATTTAATCGTTCTTCTACACACTGATTCACTTGGTGACTTTGGAAATTTTGCTTTCCCTGTCTGGGGCTCAGTTTCCTCAATGATAAATCAAAGAAATAAGTCTGGATCAATGATTTCCAACTGGGACCACTAGACGCAGGTACATTCCTGAAAGTACTCATGGTGGAGAGACTGTCTTTGAATAATTTCCAAAACTTGAAAAAGCCTAATGAAATTGTACATTTGCCATTTCCACCTCCCCTAAGTCTGCACAGGCTCATTAAAAAGCACTTCTATGTGGTTGGCTAGAGTAATAGCCACTTTGTATGGAAAGATAGGTCACCTTATGCTGGCCAGAAGCTCTGTTTGCTAGTCACCTATTATATCTTTGATTAATAAAAACAGAGAATTGAATTTATTTTTTTGAATTTTTTTAACCAGCCAAAATATTTTATTTATTTTTATTTTTTTTTGTAAATTTATTTTTTATTGGTGTTCAATTTGCCAACATATAGAATAACACCCAGTGCTCATCCCATCAAGTGCCCCCCTCAGTGCCCGTCACCCAGTCACCCCCACCCCCCGCCCACCTCCCCTTCCCCAACCCCTAGTTCGTTTCCCAGAGTTAGCAGTCTCTCATGTTTTGTCTCCCTTTCTGATATTTCCCACTCATTTTTTCTCCTTTCCCCTTTATTCCCTGTCACTACAGCCAAAATATTTTAAAATAGAGAGTCTCTGAGGAAAATTAATAGCAGCGGTCCTTTGTGGTCAAAAGCTTCCAAACCACTAAATTTGATGACCTCTAAATGCCCTTTGAGCCCAGAGCTCCTAATTCTAGCATCTGATTCCTCTAGCCAGCCAGGCCTATTCCCACTTAAGCCCTCTTCTGGGACACATTCCTATCCACAGAGTCTGCACTGGTAATTTTCCAGTTGTTAGGAACTACCAACAACCACCATCTCCCAGCAGGGTTGAGCAGTCACAGAGCCCTGAGCTTCCAGAAGCCTCCTTGACACTCTGTCTGGAGAAGATATGAAAGAGATAAAAGACCCAAGGAAAAGTAACACAGCTTATTTCTTACTCCACAGTGCAGGGATGATGTGCACAGCCTCCGGAGTCTGCCAAACCTTGACTCCAAGCTGCATGACCTGGAGACAACACCCACCGCAGTATCTTCCCCTGTAACATGGAGAGAATAATTGTTCCTTCAAGATGTTGTTGTCAGAAGAAATAAAGGCATGGATACATGGAAAGCACAGAGGAAATGCTTAGTAAAAGCAGCTCTTTCCTTCAACACTGGGAAAATGCTCACCTGAGACCAGATGGTAAGATCAGTGCTAACACCATAAAAAAACAGCTGGACATACTTAGTGATGTGCCCATCACTAAATCTGGACCTTTCGTTATACTATTTTCTTCCTTTCCACCTACCATTTCTGGATGGAAAGAGAAAATCGATAATCCCTCTTCTTGGGAAAGACAGAAAGGAAATGACATTTTTTTGAGTGCCTGAGGAA